TCACGACAGCCCTTTTACAAATGAGTTAAATCAATTAAATGGTAACTTGACTCGCGCGATCACGTCTCCGAGTAGTGTTTTAGATGCCGTAACCAACACGTGACCATGTTTTAACTTATACAAAAACTCCTCGTTTTTCAAATGGCAAAGAAACAATTTGAAAATATTCCCCCGTATTTACAAAATAAAACTGGCATAGGGTGGGATTTAAAGACCTGGCACCTTACCCAGGATTGCTGTCCATATATTTGATAGCTTGAGCGTTTTTTGTGTCTCGTAATAACCCCATTATTGCTCTTCTGTAAACAAGACATCGATTGCTTTTACATTTCTCCGTCGCCTTGGTAACTGAAGTGGCGTGTTCGAATTGCATCTCCAGAGTAGAGTTCGGTACTCTGTTTGCCCTGCATCCCGCTAGACAAAAGAATATAAAATGAATTATTTATGACGTCAACAAACAACTCATATGGCATACTAGTATTTACAATGCAGCGAGTATGACAACTTAAAAAGTTGAAGAGTACACACAACAGTTGCTCTGTGAGGGCGCTATTCTCACAATAACCCCAACCGTTTCAATCAGCCCATAAGCTGAAAAGACAGCTGTTATAATAAATGGATTCAAAGAGAGGGTAGTTACGAACAATGGGTTCTATTTAGGGTCACAGCTGGGGTCACGGGTACTATACAATACCAACAAATACCACGAGGTATGAAAATGATTTCACCTAGTGGCAAGAAACATGCAGCGCACGTGTAATGTAGACGTAGAACAATGCGCACAGTCACATTTGAATCAAAGTATATATATAAGGCATAATTTGATTCGTCGAAATAGCCTGTTATCAAACAAAAAAGCTGCTCGCTAATTGGTCGGACTGTTAAGTATCAAGATAACTTGTAGAAAGTGTACACTGCCCCACCTGTTGGATTTATGACGTTAGTTGCCCTCAGTAGTATGTTTGATAACTTTTCTTTATCTTCGTCATTTGCACTTCTTCTGAGACAATAGCACCGGTGTTTAGAATTATTGTCCATTTCATAAGACTCTTTAACAATCTGTAAATCAGCTCGAGACAGATTCCTACTTGTGAGAAGTTGACGATAATCTTCAAAATGGATGATCCCCGGGAGATCGCCCTCTCGATATTTCTCGCCCAGAAATGCAACGAAACACAACGATTCTTCAAAACTACTTTCTGCGCATCTCCGTATTTCTCGCAATTGGGTATGGTCGGAGGGGGAGTGAAATTGGCTGGATGAGGGTATTTCGGAAATATTAAAATTGACTCCTCTAATGTACGCTAGTCTACGCAGGTACGGGTACACATCAGAAAAAATGACGTTCTTTTCCGCGGTGAAGTCGTCGTTGGAACATAGATATATCTGAATAGAATTTTCATATTTCATGCTTATTAGGCTCTCAAAGTCGTTGATATACAAAGAGGGTCCGATTGTTACATTTGAATCGTTGTGGACGTAGTCATCAAGATTGGTGGTTATCTTCAAGTATTGTCTCCACTTTGGCCGCCCGCCTCTCTTAATCCTCCAGTGTTTGAGTTGCACAGTTTCCTTCGGACACAAGTCATTCTCTTCGTTCCAACGGATCTTGCCTAGAAATGGCGGTGGCATGATGGTTGCAGACGCGGCAGAGCCCATGTCGGATGAACTGCAGTAGTATAAAATCACGCTGGTGATAAGGTAGAATCAAATATACGCGTAAACATTAAAACAGATGCCGTCGAGGTCGATCACAGCCGATTTAGATTTAGATCACTCTGACTCTCTATTTTCATCTGCCTCTGTATGGTGTATCATAAGCGTTCTATTGACATCCTTTCACGTTATCGCACTCCGTGGGTCTTTTCTTTGTGCAATGGGCACGCGACTGCTTTTGGGTTACAACAATGGTCTGTGATCGCTTTGTATTTTTAAGTGCACGCGCGTGTACTGAAGTGAAGACAACGAAGGAACTTCACTCACCGAAAAACTTATTCTGAAACTATGACGCAGGAAACCCTCGGAAATACATGTATATGGGTGGACTTCTTTAACTCGCACAAGGATTACAGCTAAACTGGTGGTTCGCTCTTTGTTCATTAACATATTACACATGTCCTATACATGTACCATACAAGCTCTTCACGAACCAGTAGCTAATAATGATGGTGTCACACATTTAAAGTTTATTCAATCTGCGAACGTTACGTGCGCAGTTATATCATGCAAGTACGAGTATAAAACGCTAACTATTTATCGGACGAAATAACAAGCTGCAGTGAATACGTGAGACATAATGAATGGCCGAATGACTTGGAGTTTACTTAGCTTATGCATGTAGCTCCATGTATGTGCTATCGTCATGACAACGCGTTTGAATAGCCCTCCTTTGTTTTCGTCCTCCAGGTGGGGTCCTTGCCATATACGAAACTGTAGAGTCTGGAAAAGGGGGACGCCGACCACATCAACATCAATTAAATCACTCTCTCAGCGGAGATTGGAACACCTGTCCGTTTCAGAAAACCGTTGAGTACTAGTATTCGCATTCATAAAGCAGTTCAAATGGTTCACAACATATACATTCCCCAAAAGTACTTGTAACATTATAACAATATTAGGGTGACTGTATCAATTAGGGCATATACATTTTTTTAAAGAAATGGGTCAGGGTTTGAGGTGTGTTTAAATATACTGTACCACCGCTGCATGCATGACCCTGGCCATTCAGCCATAATGTGGGAGAATATGTTTACCCCGGTGGTAACACCTTAACCGTTATCATTTGTGGCACGCCTAATGGCCAAAAAAATACCTTTTGGGTCGAGTACATAGAGGAACATAATCCCACACAGAGAAGCGTAGAGTGTAGTTGTATTAATCACCCAGTTATCATCAGTAGTGTTCATTTCAATATCAACATCAATATTTTGCAAACAACAGTTTCCCATGGTCTATTCTCATGGTGGCGCTCTTTGCATACACCAATGCTGAGATTTCAACTACCAGTATCTATGAGTAACATTTTTAACGGCTTTCGAAAACTGGTGCTACAGAAGAATTTGGAGAGTGAACTGGAAGGATCATTTAACAAATGAAAAGGTTGAAAGACTTATAGGATGTCAACTGAAATTGGCAACAATGCTGTGTCAAAGGAAATCTAGGTTTGTATGACATGTTCTTAGAGGATCTAATGGTGGGCTTGCTAGTCTCGTAATTGAAGGTACTATAGAGGGAAATCGAGAGGACAATCTAGAAGAACTTGAGAAAGAACATCACAAAATGGACAAACACGGAGAACCTTGGGAGCGCGAAGAAAAATGCTGAGAACAGAAGTTTGTGGCGCAGTCTTGTTGTCAACCTTCGAATTGAAGAAGACACTGGATGATGATGATGATGATGATGTGTTTTAAACACTCTTTGTAGATCACGTATAATCATTACAGTATATTACACGTAGTTTGCTGATAATTTCCAAATAAACAAAGTTGTATACATGTGGTGAAACGTGGAAGAAATGAATCACGAAGTAGATGCAAATAGTATGGCAGCGTAGACTATGCAGGTCATGAATTTGACAATTTATTATACCACGTAAGTATCAGTTATGACGTAATATAATAATCCAACGACGTCCATAGTGTCATCCACGTCTGTGAGAAATGAGTAGACCATAATAATTACGCTGTATAGAACAAATAAATGTGTTCTTATAACGAATGAAATGAACAGTGAAATGATCATGGAATAGTTTATGTCGTGCAACAAATCCAGCGTCTGTGTGTAATACAACAAACAGCTTGTAATCTATTCGTCTTACAAACAGTCGAACTCAATCAACACATTTTCATCCCCGATTGTTTTCTACGATTTGGTTACCGGACATGAAATCTAGTTATTTTGATACGTAATGTTAAGACCAAATATTCAATAAACGACATAGAGTGGACATGGCGTCTGTGTTTCGACAATTCCTACAAGGGAGCACACTGGGCAATATAATGTTGTAACAGTAAACTAAAT